ACCCATATTAACCTCCATATTATTTACAAGTTAAAAATCAAACCGCTAGCCTCCCTCTTCAGCTAACCAGTGTCAAATGTACTACTAAATTAACAGTCCAATAAATACCCTGTTATACGAAAGAACATGACAGTTGAACAGAACATGACATTTGAATGAATCAAGAATTTAAAATAAATCAGTCACATAACAAAAAAACTCGTTGAGTAAAGATAATTCCTGGCAAATACATTCACATATCGCAGTGACGTAACTGACACTCCACTCGCACCCAACAAGCCGAATCTTGGCAAATAAGGACTAACTCAACACTCTGTGGCATTCGGCTTTGGACCTACTGGGAGGACTTTACTACAGCACACATCTACCGCCAAGAAGACAGCCATATTTTAACAGCGAAAATGAAATAAACATGACTTCGAACACAAAAATAACCAATCATAACGTCTCTCACGGACTATTAGAATAAAAAGCACTTACAAATAGCGCTGTACAGGGCCTTTCGCCGTGGATTACACGCTGGACTCGTCGGAGATTCCCGGTCAAGAGTTAGACACAATCCAAGCTCATCAGATCCTGACAAAAAGCACATTCACTGTAAAAACAAATTCCGTAAAATTAATAAAAATTGCCAGCTAATTTTTGATGCCGATACAATTAGTGTTGTCTTCCATCACGGTCACAGCATTAACTATCTATTACGTGCATGACAGTAATGAGGCCCCACGGTTTTCCCCGTAATTTGACCTGGGTAGAAGCATGGCAGAAAACTGTAACTCTCAGTCACTGTACTGCACGTGATGCACGGATACGGGTATTGTTCTGGAATCAAAAATTAGCTGCCATGTTGTCTGTAACTTGCGACGGCAAAAAACCGCAACTCTCAATCACAGAGTTGCACGTGACGCACGACGACGGGAATCGTTTAAATTAGCTGGCGTGTTGTTCGCACCTTGAAGCAACGGCCAGAGCTTGTTAAACTGCTAGCTGCAGTGACTTACCAAAATGGACGTCTCAGTGAACAATAAATATAGCATTTTACTAATATAATTATTGTTCACTGAGACGTCCGTTTTATTAGATCATTGCAGCTAGCAGTTCAACAGGCTCTAGCCGTTACTGCCAGGTATGGACAACACGGCACCTAATTTTTAATGTCTGAATGATTCCCGTTGTCACGCATCACGTGCAGCTCAGTGATTGAGAGTTGCAGCTTTTTGCCGCCGCAAGTTACGGACAACACACCAACTAATTTTTGATGCGGGAACAATTCAAAGTAAATATCTAGCGACCATAAAATCTGATTAGGTTGTGCGCCCAAGTTACTTTCAGGAGTTAACGCCAGCTGCGCATCCCAGCGGTTAGCAGGTGCTTAAACACTGTTAGAAATTTGAAGCAAGTGCACACAAGATACAGTATTAGGTAAAACATGTTCATACCTTTTTTTCTCAAGAAATAATTAGTGGGACATTTCCATCTTTCATGTACAAAGCAATCTCTGATTTTCAGAGCAATAAAGTCCATATGAAGAACTACAGATCCTGGAAAAGCAAAACAGAAAATATGGAATGTGATTAGATTATCAACAGAGTGCGATGACAGAATAAATTTCCCAATTTCTGCAAACTATGAGTTAGACGTGAGCGCATTGCAAGAGCCTCAGCTTAACTCTCGCGGGAACTAGACAGCAAAACCAACTTGAGACCTATGCTACGAATTAACAAAGGAAGTCCGAAAATGCCTTCGAAGACAAAATTGCTGCAATCAATGAGTTTCTGCAAGCATGCTGTCACGAGTTACTTTCAGAAGTTACTGCCAACTGTGTCCCTCAAGAGAAAATTACACACTGTGGTAGCAAGAAATTTCAAGCAAGCGCACATAAGATGCAGTACGGAGTAAAACCTGTTCATACCTTTATTCTTGAGAAATAATTAGTGGCCCATGTCCAGCTTTCATGTACAAGGCAATCTCTGATTTTCAGAGCAATCAAGTCTATACGGAAAACTACAGAACCTGGAAAAAAGATAAGTGGAATGTGATTAGGTTCTGAACAGAATGCAATGACAAACTAAACCTCTCGATTTCTGCAAACTATGAGTTATACATAAGCGCAGTGCAGGTAACTCAGATTCATTCTGGCAGGCACTAATCAGTGAAACCAACGTGTGACTCATGCTATGAAACCATTTTAACAAGGCAAGTTCGAAAAATACCTTTCAAAATGAAATTTCCACATTCAATGAGTTTCTTCAAGCCTGCTGTCACAAATTAATTTCAGAGGTTACTGCCAAGTGCACCTCCCAGAGATAGGTGTTCGAACACTGTGTTAGTAAGAAATTGCAAGCAAGTGCACACAAGATGCAGCACTGAGTAAAACATGTTCGTATCTATTCTTGAAAAATAATTACTGGGTTACGTCCAGCTTTCAAGTGGAAGGCAATGTTCGTAACCTGCACAGCAATCAAGTCTATATGAACAACTATAGAACCTCAAAACAAAGAAAAACAAAAAAATGTGGAATGTGGTTAGGTTCTGAACAGAATGCAATGACAAACTAAACCACCCGATACCTGCAAACTATGAGTTGCACGTAAGTGCACTGCAGGTGCCAGTGTGATTTAAGAAAGCTGTAAACCCAAATGAAATCACTTGAAAGGGGCCAGGACACAGAAATTAGGCAAGTTAGAGTATTTATTACATGATAGCCCCATAGGTTACTGGGCATACAGAAAACACTTAAGAATATTTAAAGTTCCAATAATTACAAAAATATATCTTTTAATGTTTCTGATTTTTATCTGCTGACCAGGATACCTGGGTGACCAGGCGATGCCTGAACATCGGACTCTGAGAACACCAAAGCTCATTGCAAGGGACCGCATACTAGCATTTAGCGCTACACTGTCGAGATTGCGGTGCAAACTGCAGGAAACCTATTACATAATGAAGGAAACCTATTACATAATAAAAAACAGACCATCTTGAGTAAGCCAACCTTCACTGACTCCAACGAACAGTGAGATTCATTTTCTGAATCTTGGTTAGCATGTGGAGTGTGCAATGAAGAAGAAGGAAGTGCAAAATCCACAGTGCGCCTTATACCCGAGCGAACATAGTGCCATCTACACACTCCAATGAAAAATCAGTTGTTAGTAAGCACTTATCCTATGTAGTCCTTCCTTTTTGTCCTTTTCCCTTTCGTGCTGTTTTTCACGAAGAAAATTTCGAATCCATGATAAAGTGAGAGAATCAAGATTTAGTGAGGAAAGTTTTTATATTAAATGACAGTGAGATACATGATCGAAAGCCTTAGAGTAATAAAAAAATATGGCATCATACTTGGGAGTTAGTGTTCATATTAACATGAATATCACGGGTGAACTCCAGCAACTGCCTCTAGCATGAATATCTTTTACGAAACCTGTACTGATTTTGGTAGAAAAAGTTGTTAGTAGATTCCAGATGCGATACTACATGAGAAAATATTTTGAGTTCTAACAACTTGCATACAACGCTGGTTAATGATACGATACGGTAGCTTCCCGCAGAGTGAAGACCGCCACTTTTGTAGATTGGAACGACCTTCCCAACCTTCCACTCGGGTGGGATGCAACCAGTGGATGAATGCTGGAAAAGTAGACTGCATATTACTGCGTGCTTAGGGGTAGCCCAGGGGGCACCGCGCCCGACAGTCATGCAGAGGTTTCGGGTTTGAATCCTGGGACCGGCAGATGTCTTTATTTATTCCTAAGACGATGCTTCTAGAAAATTTGAGAAGGCCGTGGTTAATTCTAGAACAGAATGTTCGAGTACAGAATGTTCGAGTACAGAATGTTCGAGTACAGAATGTTCTAGAAAGGAGAGTGCTATAAAAGAAGCCCCGCGTGGCCTTATGCAATCAGTTATCGCTTGTGCTCGACCCTGTTGTATTGAAGACACTCGACGCCTCCGACGTGCTGTTATTTCCCTTTAATTTGGGCAAAGTTCGCCCCATTAAACATTCATTTTGTTGAGTTTTACTTCGCCTCGTCACCTATTTTTTGTGCGACCCTTGGCATTTTTTAGAATTTTTGTATTAATTGAGTCGACACCAGCCAAGCTGAAAATTTTGAGGTTATCATTAATATCGCAATTTCAGACGGTGTTATAGAAATAGGGTCCATATACCTAAAATCTACATCTGGTACAAAAGGTAAAAAGGAACTATCTCCATCAGTAAAAGTAGACTAAAAGCAATTGTTCAAAACCGTAGGACATTCATTGTCCGAAATAACAGTGCCATCATTGTTCATTAAGAGTATTGAACGGGATGACTCATATGAGTAAATAAGTTTCCAAAACGTTTTTGGTTATTCTATAATATTGAAGGCAGTTCACAGTTATAAAATTTGTCTTCGAAGAAATGCATACGTTCGATACAGAGTTTGGCCCAAGAGTTATATTTGGTCCAGGCTGCCTTGAAATTCGAGTTTTTGGCTATCTTAAGTAGTCTTTTCTTTCTTTTGCCCTAGTTTTTAAAATCTTCCATGTACCAGGGCTTAGTGCTGTCTAACCAAATACGAACGCATAGAACAAAGGCAAGAATTCTAGCAACTTTTGTTTGGAAAGTAACTAGTTGTCATTAACTGTAGAATCAAAAAAATTTACAACATAATTGTCAGAAAATTTCGAGAGAGCTGTGTTAAATTTGGCCATCACTGGGCCACAATACCACTAGCAGACATTAGTTGCTAGAATGACAGCAAGCTGAAGTTTTCAAATAACCAACCTGCAGAAAAAAGATGTTTGAGTGCTCCATCACGGCTGTGCTAGCGTGCCCCGAATGACCGGCATGGGATAGCGGCTTTTGTAGAGGCATCGCAGCTGACGACCAATGTTGGCAGGCTCCTAATGCTCCTAACTTGAAATACACCAGGACGGGTTCTGGGAGCCGCTGTTTTCCCGTGGTTGGCTCGAGAATGATCGGTTCAGTGGCTTCCCATGGTCCGTCCAGCACATGGGCCCGTCATTGCTGGCGATGCTCAGAAGTATAGACTGCAACAAAAATATGTGTAAGTGCTCCATCAGGGCTGTGGTAGCGTGTCCCCCCCCCCCCCCCCCCTCCGATTTCAGCTTTTGGAGCAGGTAATTCTCGTTCATCACCTTGTAAAAAGCGATGCAAGTACTATAGAAAACCCCGCAGTTCCTCGAAGTGCCATAAAAACTATTTTAACTGTGATTATAACACAGACAAATATTTACAGCAAAAAGATTGTTGTTGGAAGTGTTGTAATAGAAGGGGATAGAAAGTAAAAACGCAAAATGCCTTTAAATCTCGATCCATTTACTAAATCAGTTCAGTCTTCGACAACTGCAGGGCAATAAAACTATTTTAACAGAGCGAATAAACTACACGTCGTAACATGCACTTTTCCTTAAAGGGGTGGTGAACCGAAATTTGGATTTCAGAAAACAATGCAGGAGCTGTAGATGGGACGCTACAATCCTTACAACACTACTCGTAAGGCGATATTTCGAATGGACGGCCGTATATTTGGAAAAAGAGATCGAGATTGAACGAGGCCAACGAGGGACGTGGAGTCAACGTATCTGGTTCTCTCCTCTCTTCGCTTTGCCCCATCAAGGCGACGAGGCGAGGAAGACGCAAGAAGATTCCCTATCCTTCTCGACTCTTCTCAAAGAAACAAGACGTCAACATATCTGTCACATGCGCCTCCTTTTTTAAAAAAATATGGTTGAGATATCGCTATATGGGTGATCTTTTGGTGTTTGTAGCATCCCGTTGCACGCTTTTGCTGCCGTGTTTTGTGGAATCCAGATTTCGGTTCAGCATCCCTTTAAAATGCAAATATAGCGAGGAAGAGTCATACGAGTGTTCCTCAAGTAATCGGGGCCACTGAAACAATGATTGACACCTCACTTCCTCCCATGCAAAGCATCAATAACCATTCCAGCCAAGGGGAAGCAACTATAAAGGGAAAGTAAAAGTTGAACACTTATCTCGGAAAGTGGCTACTTTTCGCTCGAGCACATAATTTAATAGTTGCTTTTACGTAGGGAAATATAAGCGAGTAACTTGGTGTTCCTTAATTTCATAAAAGGACAAAATTGTTTCCGTCTATGGCAGTGCTCTCTCAGGTCACCGTGGGACAGAGGTGGTTTGTGTACCTCAGTCCTATTTATTATCGAGCGGTAACACATCATATCGGCTGAAAGTATTTAATAAATCATAGCGGCCAAAGCAGGTGGCACGTCATCGTCTGCTTCCAGCCAGCATCTAATGATGTTGTTGGCGCCATCCTGCGGTATGTTATGCAAGCACGGTCGCCGTTCGCCCGCTAGGCCTACCGCGAAACGAACGAACCACCGGTCTCTATGACAATTGCCGGATCACGCATCCCCACTTGCTCGCTGCAGCGCGAGTGCGGCCACCGAACAACCATCTTGCACATTGAAAAATTGTTTTTGGAACGTGGTGGAGGATGGCGGCAGCTAGCTGAAGACATGTTTTCTACTTGTTTGTCGTCATTTGCCAAACAAGTTTTTTAAAACCCTGTGTAAGCCGTGAAACTTGCCGTTGAGAAAACGTGGAAATTTTTACGGCAGCAGAGTGCCACAGGAAAAAGGCACAACTTGTCGAAAGCACGTTTCACCGGTCTAGCAGCGTGATCAAAGCTTCCCTGGCCCACAAAAGCACTGCGTCTCTGCGCCTTCGCATGCTCGGATGACAATAAAGAATCGACGTGTAAATGTGTTTTACGAGTGCAATGTGTGTAAAGCCATATGTGCTTCTGGAGAAGCATTTTACTTTACCCCGACGACTGTACAGGGTGTCACAAAAGAAAATTTACACAGTCTTTTTTACTGCAAAAATCAACTAGGCATCATCGAACGCTCATTCTCTGCCGAAAGATAGAGCTAGAGGTCACAACCGGATGGCAAAGTTTCAGCCCGATCCGATAACTTAATCAAAAGTTATAAGCGATTTTTTTAAAATTTCAATGGGAAAATGGCCGCCGACAGAGTTTTCAAACACATGGGGCTCTATGGCACCAGAAACCGAAAACGGGCAAAAATGGGCTCCATTTTCCCATTGAAATTTTCAGAAAATCACTTATAACTTTTGATTAAGTTATCGGATCAGGCTGAAACTTTGGCATCTGGCTGTGACCTCTAGCTCTACCTTTGGGCGGAGAATGAGCGTTCGGCGATGCCTAGTTTATTTTTGCAGTAAAAAAGACAGTGTAAATTTTCTTTTGTGACACCCTGTATTTGTAACTTCCGGCACTTGCGGTCCGGAAAGAGCTTGATCCAGTGGCCAGTGGCAACGAACGAGGAGGGGAAGGTACACATCATGATACTGTTAGCGCGAACACGACATCGGCACATTTTACTTCCAATTAGTATTAGCGAGCACGAAATGTTTTTGCTTACATTATATGAGCTCTTTCCGTAGCAATAATAACTTGGATGACATCCCTTGGTTTCAAAGAGAAAAACTGGAAAAACCAGCGATTACTTGTTCGCACAAACTGTGTCGCACTCAGTAGGTCTTTTTTCGTTGTTAAACTATTTACAGAATATTGTGCACGATAGCTCCTCATCACTGATTAGTGCTGAACCATTATAAACCTACTTTATTGCACTTGACGTTTGAGCGCGACTCGCCTAATTGTGATTGGCCAAGGGACTGCACACGACCGTATGGGTCGCGCTTCAAAAATTTTAATTCTCGCTGTCTTGTAGTTTTGCCTTCGAAAACCAAACTTGCTCCACAGCGTTGCTCTATTTGTGCTGCCATGTGATCCATTAGAGCAGATATGGAACATGGTTAATAGTGCATAAGAGCAACCGTCAATATTGTTTTCCCCCTTTATTCAAAGCAACTTGCCGGAACAGCTGGACGACTCAGAACTCCGTGCCCGATATATGATGCCCAAAAACATCTACGCGCGACACACCTTCAAAACTTTGCCGCGGCGCCGATTCTTGATCGGTATCCAAGCGCGCGAAGGCAGAGAGACGCAGCGCTTCGGCGTGCCAAGGAAGCTTTGATCTCGCCGCGGTAAACTTGATTTCGACGAATTGCGCCTTTTTCCTACGGCACTGCGCTTCCGTAAAACTTTTGACGTGTTCTCAACGGCAAGCCTCACGGCTTACACAGGGTTTTAAATAACTTTTTCAGCGAATACCGACGAACGAGTAAAACACGTAACTTCAGCACGCTGCCGCCAGCCTCCGCAACGCTCCAAAAAGGCAATTTTTCTACATGTAACATGACCGTCTGGTGGCCGCATTCGCGGAGCGGGGATGCACGATGTGAAACGAACACACCACTGCCTAAGACAAGAACTTTTTTTTTTTTTTTACATAGATAAGTAGACTAAAGAAAACATGACATCCTCTCTTTAAATTTCAGCACGCGAGAGCGCCCATCGTAATTATTCAACGAGTGCGGTTCAGTGTTTTCGATTTCTTCCGTTCTTCTTACGGCGCCGGAAAGCGAAAAGGTACGAACAAAAAGTGTTTGGAAGAAACCAGAGCAAACCGAACTCCCATGGATATGAGCCCTTGTCCTGGACACATCAATCGAGTCGAGTCTCATGCGAGGATGCGTTGCCCTCGTGCAACTGAGTGGGGAAAGCAGAAGCAACAAGGTTGAGCGCGTTTTCTCACACAACACGCGCTATCGCGATAAGTTACGCGTCTTTCATTCCTTCTGCACTTCGATTATCTCTCAAGGCGCATGCGAAAATGAGCTACTTACCTTTTAAGTGCGGTTGAATGGTGACAAGAGGTCGCGGCAACGAAGTCACGGAAGAGCTGCCTGGAGCTGCCGTCGGCGAGCCTACGCAGCGGTGTCGACGGTGCGCCCAGTAAACATCACGTGACAGACGTCTTCGTCCGCGAGCTGAGTGCGCCGGCTTTCGGGTAGGCCTCCCTACGCCGCTCCGATGGCGAAATGCCCTAAAGCAAAGAGATCTCGCCTCGACGGCGTCGGCGTTTTGCCGCGCGCGCCTCTCAACGCTTTCGTCTCTTTTTTTTTTTTTTTTTCTTTTTTTTTTTTTTAGTGCGTGTGTTTTGCGTGCTGGGCTCCGTCACTCCTAAGCTGAAAGTGTAGAAGAAGCTAAGGGGTGCCCGGTGAACTAATCGCACGTCTGTCTTTAACCACGTGATCACGTTCCCTCCTGTAACCACGAGCAGAAAGCGAGGCAGGTGATAACTGGTCCGGTGGGCGCTTAGCTCGCTCGACACTGTCAGCTTAGGAATGAAGGGAGTCCTCCTTCAAGGACGAGTACTCTTCGCTTGCAAAGAAGAGGTTAGAAGAGATTGGTGATGGTGTAGGGCAGTGTGGGGATTAAAACTTGGGTTTGGGCATAGCCTCCTCTATACGGAGAAAGCCTGGCGCGTCGCGTGAAAAGACGGCCGCCGTAAATGGGAAAGGAGGGGCGGAGAAACGGGAGCGGAGAGAACCTTGTCCGCTAGCGCCACAAAAGAGCGAGCGGCCAAACGCAGAAACAATCTTTTTTTTTTTTTTTTCTTTTCTTGTCGCTATCGTGGAGAGGAGAACCTCAACGTCCACCCTTTCCCGTTTCTCTCTACGACGCCCTTCCGAATCGCCGCGCCCGTTTCTCCCGGAGTACGAAAACGACGGTGACGAAGACGCAAAAACAAGCGTGGTTTGGGGAGCGGCCGCTCACGACCCAAGCGCTCGCTGTCTAGGTCTGCCCTTTCTGCTCTGCGCTACCATAATGGTCACCGTTCGGCGCGCTCCTCCTCTCCTTTTTCCTGCGGCCGCGCGCTCTATGGTTCCGTCGTCGATGTGCCAGGCTTTCTCCGTATAGAGGAGGCTATGGTTTGGGCTAGTTGGTCCATTACTGAATAAAAGGTTAAAAAGCGCGAACAAACGAGGACAATAAAGAAACACGGACGACAGGACAGGCGCTTCTCATGCGAAAGTTCCCCTCCCGGGAAAACGGGAGGGGAACTGTTCTCTCATTACCCTCTCTCGCCCTTTCCCAGGGAAAGAACGAGTCCTTGCACCAGGCCGAGCGACCTTGTAAGCATTCCGTTTCGAGGCCGTCGGTGCGTGCGCCTCCCTCCCTCCCTCCCCCCCCCCCCCCCCCCCCTTCCTTGCGGGAGAAGGGCGCTCGAATTCTTTCGTTTGTCTCTGTTGGTGTTGCTTGCCGGGTATCCAAAAAACCAATGTGGTAGAGATTGCTTAAACATGACAGCTCTAGAGCAAGAAGACAAAAAGAGTCTGGCAGACACGACGCTCCGAACTCAGCTTGAAGCCTAATGTCAAAATTAAAAAGAGAATGATAAATCAAATGTCTCCCAACGAAAAAAAAAAGAGGCAATATGATTTTCAAGAAAATCGTCAGCCACTTTCGCGTTGCCTCGGAGCACCAGCGAAGCTAACTATACTCCGTTTCACCTTCCGTCCGTGCACAGCGGACGCTAGGAGTCATCCCAGCCAATGCGGCGTTGAGGGAGTGTCATGCGACCTTGAGCTCCCTGTGTCGCCCCGCCCCACCGGCAGGTCACGCGACTTTCTCCCGGCGCTGGATCGGCTGGGATGGCTCGTGGCGTCCACTGCGCTCGGACTGACGGTGAAACGGAGTATAGGTTATGCCTCAAAATAAACAAAACAACAAAACATGCCCACCAAAAAAAAAAAAAGAACATGCACGCAAACATGTGGATTGCGCCAGATCGGTAGTCTAAAATACCAACCACATGTGGGCGATCGTACGGGTGTAGCATTATAGCCTCACGTGCAGAATCCCTGTGCGAGCTTCAACCAGCATTGTTCCATGTCTTAACCTAATATGTTGAGGGTCTACAAATGACGGCATGATTACGTTACACACGCTCGCGTGCACACTTACTGTCTCTTAATTAAAAGCAGAAGGCTCAACCGTCACGGTGAGGACCCGGCCGTATGATCTGGGGATTCGAGTCATGGGCTTCTGATCAAGCTAGCCTTTTAAAGGCGGGGCTAAAGGGTGGGGTGTCAGTCGTGGGGCATTTGGCAACTTCTTTGTGCTCGCTTCTTTTTTTTTTGCGTTTTGCGTTTTGCGTTTTGCAGCTGACGTTATTTCCGGCTAAACTCTAAACCAAACACGACGTTATCGTCTGCTATCAGTGCCTTGGTGCCATGTTGGAGGCATTCGGCGTGTTATTGTGGCAGCAGTAGTGCCGTAAAGTCATAGAGCCGTCCTTGTATAACCACGCTTCAGAATATGTTCTTGTCCTGTCAATCGCAACGGGGTTCTTCACTGGACACGAAATGGAGTTCATAAACCCGTAGTTAAGAGCACGAAGCTTTTCTCTCGAGGTCGTAAAGCCAACATAATAATCTGGAGCGAAAGGTCCCATGCATTTGGTCGCGACGGAATGACGAGGCATTGACGCAGACATCGGCAGCCCCATTTGGCGGCCCCGATGAGCCCATATCGAGACATTTCTTATCGTAGTTTTCGGTTTCCAGAAACAAAGATACGGTCTTCATATCAAGATCGGCAATAAAATAAAAGAAATTCTTCATTAACCCTTTGCTCATGTGTAGTCATAAAAGGATGTACTTTTATCCGAGTCTCTGAAAAAAAGTGCTGAGGTTTCGTACGGGTCATCGAAAAGCTTTTGTCCGGCAGAGCTCTTGTTCGGGATTCATGGATTCATCAGTGACGATGTTTACATCGCCCGCACGGATTATAGTCCCGTGACCTTGTGACTATTATGTGGAGCGCTATTTCCACTGTGGTTACGTGGTGGCTCCAATCTGTTGTATGGTTACAGACGACCGACCGGCGGACCGTTACGGACGCGTAAAGTGCGCAGGGCTCGCTCATAAATGCTATCGCAAAGCAAGCTATGTTGTGAAACGACACAACGCTCGTTTTGATGAAACCGTCGATGGGACAGCGCAGTGTCGACGAGACGATTTTGTCGATGAAGCATCCTCCAACAAACTGATTGCCATAGCGGATCAAACACGTCGATAAAACCCATTTTCCGAATTGCTAGTTGGAGGGGTTAATTATCATACGATATACGTAATACCGAGGCAAGAGAGAGCGGGTGCACTACTGAACGAATGCCCCCAATAAACAAGAGCTCAAGCGTTGAAAGCATCCGCCACAGTAAATATATTCAAACCAACATGTCCGAACAAAAAAAAAACAAAAAAAAAAAGTACATTGGAGAGTGTTTACCATTTTACAGCGATAGCTCTTCGAATCTCTAAAACCCGCGAACGGTTCCACTTGCTTTCACTACAAAAACAGATCTCAGCTTAATATTTGAATGATTAACTGCCGTAAAATACCAACCTTTGAAAGACTAATCGAAAATTATTCATTCAGTTATTAGCGCACCCTTCCCGCGGATATTTATTTGTTCTATTTATTTATAAAATGCCTACAGTGAGCAGAGGGCATTATTTTAGGGATTAATTTCGTACATAAACTATCAAATTGTCACAGATAGAGAAACACAGCGTCCGACTACATAAAAGTCCAGTTGTCAAATTGCAAAAAAAAAACAAAAAAAAACAGGAATAATAAAAAGGAACACGATGCATCAAGAGCACAGCACTCAAATGTCACGCCAATATGGCACTATACAGGTATCACTGGTGACCGGTATTCTCGGAGATCACTCCAATCACGAATCAATTTTTTGGGAAAAAAGAACAAATAGAAGATTATTCAAACAATTACAATCTGTTTCTAAAAGTGGTAGCTTACGTTAAAAGTACTTACGCTACTTTCGCGAGCACTCTGCTCGTGAAATAGATGCGGGTGGCTTCCAGCTTTTCTCCTGCACTTCAAAATACTACTACAACACCAAAATATATTTCCGCGCGAATGCTGCACGTGCCCGAGGCTTGTCCCTAAACAGCGAAGGCTACCGGCACGAAAGTGCAGCCTTCAGAGGTGTTTTCGCGGAATGACCGCTTGCGCTAGAAATTTCTGTTTCAAAGGGAGGATTTCGCGCTAGCCCGCGCGAGTCGCTGACTGGTTGGAGCTAGGAGCACGAGGAGCGCAAGCTCATTCTGCAGAACGTGCTATGAACACCAGGAATGCTTCGTCTCAACTCAGCATGGACCATTGTTGGTCACACGTGCTGAAAGCGCGAGCTAATTGTTTTGGATGACGCCTCGGCGGGCACACGAGCGCTCGTGGATGCACAAGCACTGAAACAGCATCTGCGGTTCATTCGGAGGTGAAACTAAGTATAGCGCGTGATGCACGTTAACGACCTCAGGTTAGCGGTCGTGCTGCACTAGCTACGCGTGTCTCATGTACAGCGTGAACCAGTGTCGCAAATCTTGAAAGGCAGACCAACTTCACGCCGAATAATCTCTCACGAACAGTTTGACCTTTGAATCGAGTGTACACCAACTCATTGCGTGTAAACAAGCACGCGTTTGCACACAAGAGCTCCGCGCACGACGCGCGGCATGTACCCATTTCCCGAAGTGTGAAGCGTTCGGCCATGCTCCGTTCAACAGGCTGCGCCACCGCCTAAACGCGACGTCATAGATTTGGTGTAGGTGGGACTCTTGTTTAACTAACGATTCACTATGGTACATATCGACTGTAATTTCGCCCACATTTGCTTTGAAATAATGTTTTCATCCGAAATACTATCTATAGATTACGAATGACGAGTCACTGATCATTTATACGCCAGGCGAGCACGGGATGGCGGCCCCTCTCATTGGAAATGCACCGGTGATTTTGGCACGGGTGTTTATTTCAAATTTATAATATAAGCACTCCTGACCTGTCCTATTAAAAAGATGTTTGCTTTTTTTGGCAGCAATGACAGCAGGGTTGCACAGAAGCATATATGCATTTAAGCACGTCCCTTATTATAGGGAAAATTTAATCGAGAAAAGTAATTAAGGTAAATTAACGTAAGATTC